AAAAGACATTTTCCCCGACTCCCCTATCTCTATACAAAAGGCAATGCACAGAATCCTAAGATTTGATCAGAAATCAAGATAACACCCACTCCTCCTGATACTCCTCCTCCTCCAGGAAGAGTGGATTAAATTGAATGATTACTTAGTTAAATATGTTAAGTTAAATTAACCGAAAACAGCTTGCAGATACTTACTTGGCTTAGGATTTTATTTATGTTAAGTGATGAATTAATATGTTTAATTTCATAATGTGAAGATCTAAGGATGTTAATGTTTAAGTTAAATTTTATAAGAACTGTGATTTGGAAAACCGTTAAAAGGACATGCAATGAAATTCAACCAAGGGGAAGCCAGGAAGTTGCTTAACAATGTTAATAAATGTAATTTTCAATAAGGCTGTGATTTATGTTTGTTTGTCTTATGTGTTTGTTTGTTTATAAAAAAAAACAATAATTTTTTTTTTGGCAAAAAAATAAAGAAATCAGGATTACACCAGGGGTGGTGGTGGAGGAGAAGAACGTCTGACCTATTTGCATTCGGAAGCAAAAACAACAACAACACCGCGATTATTGAGAGGGGATCAGCAGCTTCCTCGTGCATCAGATTTTCAATCCCAAGGGATCGCGTGTAGCGCGCAACATCTGGAGACGCGAAGGAAGCCCGGGCATTGTTTACCCGGCGGCGCGCGCGCGGACGCAAAGGGCAGCTGCGGAAAAATCCGCGCCGCGAAGTAACTCGGAAGGCTGATTTCCAAGCCAGGGAGGCGGATCTGCGAGTCGTCGTCCCCCCCCCCCCCGTGCAACCGGGGGTGGGGAAAACCGGCGCCCCATCCATCCCAAACACGCCCACCCGCCTCCCCGACCCGCGCCCCCTCACCTGTGATCTGCAGGTAGAGCTCTCTCCGGAGGGGCCGCGGCGCCGGCTCGTCCGCCTCCAGGACGGCGGGCAGCGTGGCCGAGCTGCGCGTCTTCTTGACGGCCGGCGGCGGCGGCGTGTCGGGCAGGCTGGCCGGGGCCGAGTTTCGCCGCCCGCCCGCCGCCGAGGTCTTCCGCTTCATGGCGGCGGCGGCAGCGGCGGAGGAGGAGGCGGCGGCGGCAGCAGCAGCAGCGCACCGGCGCTCATCCCCGCCGCTTACCCCCCTCGCGGGGCTGGCGCAGCCCAGCGGGAGCAGGAGGCGGCGGGCGGCGGGACGCGGCGGCCAGAAGCGCCGCCCCGCTCGGCTCCCAACCGGCCGCGAGCGCCGCTGCTGCTGCCGCTCCCGCGCTCGGGCGCCGCTCCCGCCTCATTCGGGCGCTCCCTCCGCCCGCCCGCCCCGCGCTCATTGGGCCGGGCGGCGTGACGCCATAATCTCCCAGCCTCGGTCCGGTGATGTCATAGTGAGAGACGCCTGAGCACCTGCGTCTGGGGGGAGAGGGCGGGTCAAGGCGTCAAAAGGCCTCGACGTTCCTCTCTTTTCTTTTCCTGTCGTATAGAACAGGGGTCAGCAAACTTTTTCACCACTGTCACATCCTTAGATCTTCACATTATGAAATTAAACATGTTCATTTGACACTGAACATAAATAAAATCCTGAGCCAATTAAGTATCTGCAAGCTGTTTTCAGTTAATTTAACATATTTAACTAAGTAATCATGAAATTTAATCCACTCTTCCTGATAACTCCTCCTCCTTCTGGTCGCGGACTCTTCCGGTTAGGTCGGCTAGCTCCGAAAAATCCATCATCTTCACTGATCTTCAAATATGAATGAATTTCTATGGCCCACAAATAACCCAGAGATGCATTTTAAATAAAAGCACACATTCTACTCATGTAAAAACACCAGGCATCTTCAATGGATTTGAAGATCCATTGAAGATCAGTGAAGATGATGGATTTTTCGGAGCTAGCCGACCTAACCGGAAGAGTCCGCGACCAGAAGGAGGAGGAGTTATCAGGAAGAGTGGATTAAATTTAATGATTACTTAGTTAAATATGTTAAATTAACTGAAAACAGCTTGTAGATACTTAATTGGCTCAGGATTTTATTTATGTTAAGTGTCAAATTAACATGTTTAATTTCATAATGTGAAGATCTAAGGATGTTAATGTTTAAGTTAAATTTTATAAGAACTGTGATTTGGAAAACCGTTAAAAGGACATGCAATGAAATTCAACCAAGGGGAAGCGAGGAAGTCACTTAACAATGTTAACAAGTGTAATTTTCAATAAGGCTATGATTTATGTTTGTTTGTCTTATGTGTTTGTTTGTTTATAATGTTGTGAAAACCAATAATTTTTTTTGGGGGGGGGACAAACACCAGGCAGGCCCCACAAATAACCCAGAGATGCATTTTAAATAAAAGAACACATTCTACTCGTATAAAAACAAGCTGATTCCCGGACCATCCGCTGGCTGGATTTAGAAGGCAATTGGGCCGGATCCGGCCCCCGGGCCTTAGTTTGCCTACCCATGGTATAGAAAGCTATTGGCTGGTGTCCTGGCGGCCAAAAAAAATCATATATAATTGTAGAGTTGGAAAGGTCCCCCCCCAAAAAAGGGTAATCCAATCCAACCCCCTGCAATGCAGGAATCTCTAGGAATTAACACGTGAGGAGTGTGCTGTTGCCCTCAGGTGCCTGGAAGCACACCTCATAATTTCCATGGAGTTCATGTCACAAACAAGGCATCAGTCTGAATTGTTCGTAGCTCGCCCTCCATTCCTCCTATTCATAAACACATCAACATATAATGCTCACTCTCTCTGCTCCCTTTTAGGATATGCCTGCCATCTGCTGGATATTAAAATGCTATGTTTTCATCTCATTTTCAAGCACCAGAGTTTAAAAATTCAAGCATAAATGCTGCAAGGATAACTATGCCTGTTACAGCAAAAATAAAAATGAAAAGCAGTCTTGTGGCATCTTTAAGGAACAGAGCAAACTTCACCAGATGCATAAAAGGCTCTCATGGGTACACAGAAAGCAATGAAGACATAAAAAATGGGGCCAACTAGTCTTAATGTGGAGTCGCTAATTTTCTGGAATTTCTATGCAAAATTCAAGCAGTGTGTTTATGTGCCCATCCACAACAGCTGCATCTGGTGATTCCACAATCACCCTAGCTTAGCCAGGAAGAAAGTATTATACCAATTATGTTGCTTTAGCCACTGTTATCTGTGCCAGATTACCCTGTGGTTTTTGCTGCAATGGACAGAGGAAGCAGCCTTAGACCAAGTGAAGCTGTTGGTCCATATAGCTCTGCTGCGTTGGGTGACCAGCTGCAGATCTCTGGGAGTTCAGATAGGAGTTTTTCTTTCCAGCCCTACTCGATGCATGGATTGAACCTGGGGGCTTTATCATACAAACATGTGCTCTGCCACCGTGCTATATCCTGTGCATAACTGCAAACATTTGAGTTTGCAGAGAAATGTCAGGCATTTAACCCTATTGTTGACGTTTTTTTAGGACCCACGTACCTATGGGACCGCCTCTCCTGGTATGCCCCGCGGAGGACCTTAAGGTCCACGAATGACAACGTTTTGGAGGTCCCAGGTCGCAAGGTGGTCAGATTGGTCTCAACTAGGGCCAGGGCCTTTTCAGTACTGGCCCCGACTTGGTGGAATGCTCTGTCACAAGAGACTAGGGCCCTGCAGGACTTGACATCTTTCCGCAGGCCTGCAAGACAGAGCTGTTCCGCCTGGCCTTTGGTTTGGACTCAGTCTGACCCTTATGTTTCCCTCCCCTTAATGTTTTGGTTTTGATTTATGGGCTACTCTTAAAATGAGGCTGCATTTTAAATTGCATTTTAACCTGTATTTTAAATTGTTTTTTTTTCATTTCCTATAATGTTTTTAGTGTAATTTTACTGGTGTTAGCCACCCTGAGCCCGGCTCTGGCCGGGGAGGGCGGGGTATAACTCAAAATTTATTATTATTATTATTATTATTATTATTATTATTATTATTATTATCTGCAGCAATGTATGTGGTGTTTGTGATACACATCAATAGATGTGTGTACGTGTGCATACACATCACATTCATGGTGGTTTTGTGTGTTTCTCTCTCTCTAACACACACACACACACACACACACACACACTCATCTGGCATCTACAAGTTGGTTGCACTGTTAGATGACCTGCTCCAGGAAGAAACATAACCCTGACAATTATCCTGGGCCTATCAGGGGCTTTTGATGTCATTGACCATGGCCTATTTCTGGATCAGAAATATACATCTGTAGACATTTTGCTCAGTGGATCCATTCCTGTTAGGCTGGATCTATGAGTGGGTGGGTTAATTATACAGATAAACCACTATCTGACTTTTAGAAGACATATGAAGGCAGCCCTGTTCAGGGAAGTTTTTAATGTTTGATGTTATATTGCATGGGTAGGCAACCTAAGGCCCAGGGGCCGGATGCGGGCCAATCGTCTTCTCAACCTGGCCCGCAGACGGTCTGGGAATCAGCGTGTTTTTACATGAGTAGAATGTGTCCTTTTATTTAAAATGCAACTCTGGGATATTTGTGGAGCCTGCCTGGTGTTTTTACATGAGTAGAATGTGTCCTTTTATTTAAATGCATTTCTGGGTTATTTGTGGGGCATAGGAATTTGTTCATTTCCCCCCCCACAAAAATATAATCCGCCCCCCCCCCCAAGGTCTGAGGGACAGTGGACCGGCCCCCTACTGAAAACGTTTGCTGACCCCTGTGTGTATTGTATTTTAATTTGTTGGAAGCTGCCCAGTGTGGCTGGGGGAACCCAGTCAAGACAGGTGGCATATAAATCATAAATCATATTATTATTATTATTATCATCATCCTTTTCTACAGGTAGCAACATTCACTTTACTGTATTGCTGTATGGGTGCTCCATTTTCACTTCATGTAAAGTAGTGAGAGAGGGCCCTGCCTTATTGTTGCACGTGACTGATAGCAATGTAAATAGAAGGAGAAATGCTTTTTAATATGTAGTGCAAAATCAGGCCTTGGGTCTCAACGAGCACCCCCTCAAATAAAAACTGAATAACAAGATTTATTCCACACATGGCATGCATATTTTGTGCTATCCTTCCTTGTATTTTCCATGGTGAATCCACACATTATTTTGTATTGAACCTTCTGGGGACCAAATTGGGCAAAAGGTATGAAAGTTCATAGCCCTAAATGCTTACTTGGAGTACAATATTTGATGTTACAGGTTTTCCTAACCCCCCCCCCCCAAAACAAAAAAACAAACAGAAGTTTTAACTCAAGGTCTGGAAGTAATTCCCTACATAGTTCTGAGGGACAGGACACAAAATTACTTTTCTTTGCACGTTTCAGTTCCTCACAGCCTATCAGGTGGTATTCAATTAAGTTTTATTCACAGCAAACAAATTAATTCATTTCTTAGAATTTACTCTGAATAAAACTTAGTTGCCTACTACCCATTGAGTCCATGTCAATATTGTTGAAGAGGACTGCAGAGTCTTCACCACTGGGTCCAAATCATAACCGTTTTGTTTTGACTCATCAAAGAAGCTGTTTTACAGACAGTAGAAATTTACATTTTTATTTAACCTGTAGAAAAATATGTCCCTTTTATTAAGTCATTGTGAGACAGGGGTTCAGAAGACAGAACTCACTAATAATGATAAAGGCTGTGATGGAATAAAACCTATACACTGTGTATGCCAAGTATATATTTATGCAAGTTTAAACATCACTTTTTTTGATGTTAAACACATCACAACTTAACTTTGTGTTCAATGAAACAATAAAGTGTGAAGTCCATTTTTACCCACCGGAAACCGAACTATTCAGTAGCCTGGAATCTTCCAATGTAACCTCACCCAAAATTATTTGCTGAACACACTGTTGACATGTATCGTTTAACTCGCCTCCTGGGTTTTTTCTCCTTTTGACAAAGTCACACATCAATAATTGGAGATCTGTTGGTGAAGTTTACTGCTTGAACTCCAGCAAGTTGCAAAAGAGTGTTAATGGGAACATGGTCCAATCTGTTCTGGTCAAGGTGCACATGGTGGATTTCATTCCCTGGGGGGTGGAAAAAAATAAGCCTGTTACTGCCTATCTACAAAATATTGCTACCAATATTCACAACCACCTATCTTTCAGCCAATGCGGTCTGGTGCCTTGGGTGTCGGATATGGGAGCTTGGTTGTTCGTATTGTCAGAGCCGTCTTTCCCATATGGCTTAGTGGCTCGTTGCGCCAGGGCGCCGGCCTCTAGGGGCGCCCCGGTGAGTGGGGGAGCTATGTGGCTTTGCTGGCGGCCCCCCCCTTTCCCTGCACGCCCGCCAGCTGCACCCATCAACCATACGGCTGGCGGGCATGCAGCTTGCCTCCCAAGCCTCTGTGGGGATTGCTCTCTCGCAGCGGCATGGGGGAGAGTTGTGTACCCCTCTATGGCTGGCAGTGCGCAGCTTCACCCCCTCCCCCATCCATGGTAATTTGGGGGCGCTGAGTGGCTATTTTCACCCCAGCGCCGCATCTACGAAAGATGGCCCTGCATATTCTATATCAGCTATGGATATTTGTGTGTGGGGGAATACTTTCCAGATGACAAAACGCCCCATTTACTGATTACTGTACTCCGATTATGTTGCGGGGGAAGAGAAATTGAGATTAAGTGTTACTACATCAGCACAATGACCGTCATATACAGTGGTACATCGGGTTAAGAACTTAATTCGTCTGGAGGTCTGTTCTTAACCTGAAACTGTTCTTAACCTGAAGCACCACTTTAGCTAATGGGGCCTCCCGCTGCTGCCGGAGCACAATTTCTGTTCTCATCCTGAAGCAAAGTTCTTAACCCGAGGTAATAATATTTCTGGGTTAGCGGAGTCTGTAACCTGAAGCATCTGTAACCTGAAGCGTCTGTAACACGAGGTTCCACTGTATGTGCTCAAACTAGGAGCGGAGGGGAGAAACCAGAAAATTTCCAAACAGCACAACACCCCCCCCCAATAACCACAGAAACACCACCAAAGCCCACCAGCCGGGGACTGTGCTGTTGATGACACCCACATGCAACCCACTCACAACAACGAACTTGCAGCAATGTAGGCATGTCCCCAGCACAACTCCCTGCACCACAAAATAGGAGGTTTGCTCCCACTGCTGCAAGTTCAAATCTCCCCCACCTGGAGAGCTCGGTTGGTTTGAGCGTAGTGTGGATTAATGCCAAGCTTGCAGGTTTGATCCATGCAAGGGACAGCTGTATATTCCTGCACTGTGGGGGTGTTGGACTTTCAACTATCTAGCATCATTTCTTGAGCATAGCACATTAAGGGAAGGAAGGAGAGGTCGCACAACAAAATAGCCACATAGCACCAGCATCCAAGTCAGAAAGAAGACCCATTAATGTCATTGATAGTTGTGAAGTGGGGAGGGCACAGATTGGCTGTGTTTCACTCCACCCATTCAATCCATGCTATCTGGTGTTGGCATGTTTATCTGCTAAGTTCCTTAAGTGTGTGCATGTGTGAAATCTCAATGGTTATGAAGAAAGGGAGACAAGGGCTCGGCCACTTTTCACCAGTATATCCAGCAGCACAAATGCATCATGTAAGCATAACCAAGGCAAAGGTTAATCTTAACAAACAGCCTTACCTGGACCTAAAATCAAAGTGCCCCCCTGCTGAGCTGGATCTCCTTGAAAATCAAATGCAGGGCTCGTCATTGCTCTCCACATGCTCTTGATACTTCCTGACAGCAGGTTGGATTTTACATGAGGACTTTGCACTGAAATGATATGATGATATAGAAGAGAAAGCGTACTTTGCATGAGAAATTAAGTTTGCTCTGCAGATATTGCAAGCCTAAAGGTAAAGGTACCCCTGTCCGTACGGGCCAGTCTTGCCAGACTCTGGGGTTGTGCGCCCATCTCACTCAAGAGGCCGGGGGCCAGCGCTGTCCGGAGACACTTCCGGGTCACGTGGCCAGCGTGACAAGCTGCATCTGGCGAGCCAGAGCCGCGCACGGAAACGCCGTTTACCTTCCCGCCAGTAAGCGGTCCCTATTTATCTACTTGCACCCGGGAGTGCTTTCGAACTGCTAGGTTGGCAGGCGCTGGGACCGAACAACGGGAGCGCACCCTACCGCGGGGATTCGAACTGCCGACCTTTCAATCGGCAAGCCCTATCGAAACCCCTATCGTGGGCAAACCCACGTCCCACATCGCAAGCATACCCGGCTACAATCTATGCATGGTTTTGTGCAAGTCAGTCAGTTGGAATTAATAAATAATAATAATAATAATAATAATAATAATAATAATAATAATAATAATAATTTATTATTTATACCTCGCCCATTCTGGGCGGCTTCCAACAAAATATTAAAATACAGTAATCCATCAAACATTAAAAGCTTCCCTAAACAGGGCTGCCTTCAGATGTCTTCTAAAAGTCTGGTCGTTGTTGTTGTTCTCTAAACGTGCTTAGGAGAGAGCAAGCCATTTGACTATCCAATAAGAAAACGGAAGTGATCGGACTGAGGAGGAAAAGCAGAAATTTCTCTACTCATAAACCAACAACAACAACAATGGACTTTTCCTTCTAAGGCCAGCTACCTTCCCACCCAAGCCTAACAATGCAAACCCGTGTTTGTGTTTACTCCGAAGTCCCAATGGGACTTACTTCCTAATTGTTTAGGATTGCAGCCGGCCTCTCTTGTTCAATTTTCAAGTAGGGCGGCTTATGCGAGAATAGGAATCTAACACAGACTGTTAGAAAAAGTATTATGTAAATTGCTTGGGAGCTATAGTTCTTTACGTGACCATTTTTTGTGCTGTGGCCTCCGCGTTTACAGTTGGTACCACAGCTTACCTGATGTAGCAGATGCTTCACCCCTTTTCATCCCAAGCATCCTGTAGATTTCCCTTTCAGGATCCACATACATTTCATGAGGATAACCTGTCAAAGTGCAAAACGGCTGCGAGAAACATATGTAAATATCAAAATAATGCATTGGAAAGTGGCTGGGGCAACCCAGGCAGATCGACGGGGTAGAATAATAATAATAATAATAATAATAATAATAATAATAATAATAATAATAAAGAATTACTAACTACCAGGAAAACAAAGGCTGCACATGTATTTGGAGGGGGGGTGTCAGTCTCATTACATTCAGTGGGACTTTCTCCTAAGTCAACATGTTTAAGATTATGTTGTATGGATGTAGCCCTAGGCATACATGTCTGGAAATAACTGTCACTAAAATGAGTGGGACTTATTTCCAGGTAAGTGTATTTAGGACCAGAGAGTAATTCTGATTTTGAAAACCTTCAAGCTCCACACTTAAAATGCAGCTATCCCTTAGATGTGTGTATTCAAGGGAAAGTTCCTCTTTGGTGGGACTCTACAGTGTTTCCCCTCAAGGACACTTAAAAATAAGTCCACTGGAAACCAATTGTCCTTATTCACGTATATTTTAGTAATGATATATTAGACAAACAGAAGTGGTAGCATCCATGCTATACATTTAAAGCACACTTGTGCCAACAGTCTGGGTTTCCTCCCAAAGGATACTGGGAACTGTAGTTTGTCAAGGGTACTGGAGGTTGTTAAAACACCCCAAAAACTATTATTCCCAGCACCCGTAACAAACTACAGTTTCCATTATTCTTTGGAGGAAGTCGTAACTGTTCAAGTGACAGAGAGCGCTTTTAAATGTATCATGCAGGTGTGAACATGGCTCATATAACTTTTCTTTTTATTTATTTAAGTGCAAACCTATACATAGAGCCACCAAGACTTACTTCTTAGTAGATATGCATGGGACTGCAATATTATTTATAAACTTTAAATCCCACCTCATTGCCCAATACTTGAAGGCAATTTTCAATTGCAAAATTAAATAATAGTAACGACAACAACAACAACAACGTAATATTCCACAGTTTTGGTGCCACCCGAAGAAAACAACAAGACTTCTCTGTGGTACCCTCCGAAGATGTGGACATCTGGAGAAGGGCTTCTGATGCAGACCTTATTTTGATCTGCTCCCAGGTATAGATGATGCCACTTATATCAGCATCTACTTCACACTGGTTGTGAAAAGAGAGGGAAATGCACAAAACTCCATTTACCAGTTTGCTTCCCTGTGCCTGCTCGGAGGTGAAATGAGCTGAGTTCAGAATATGCCAGCAGAATAACTCCAACTTACACGGACCTACCTTAATGTGATGGTGCGATGATTGTCCAATAACCACAAGTCTGACATTTGCATCCTAAATGGGGAAGGTGTCGGGGGAAACACACAAAAGTATATATAAATCTTTAAACTGCAGCTAGTACTTACAACACGATCATTGTGGCAAGATAATAAACGCATAAGGTGGACTTCACAACAGCTATGCCATTAGAGACTCTCAAAATGGGATGATACGATGGCAATTTACAGTGATGATACAACGGTGCAAGAATCAGATAGGACGGCAGAAATGTTTTTGGATTGTGCAGCCAGTTCTGGAATGTTATTAATTACAGCAGTGATTATTTTTCTAGACTGGTTATTTGAACATAACCTTTTTAGTGCTGAATGGCACTATTTCTCTGTACAGTGGTGCCCCGCAAGACGAATGCCTCGCAAGACGGAAAACCCGCTAGACGAAAGGGTTTCCGTTTGCGATGCGCTTCGCAAGACGAATTTCCCTATGGGCTTGCTTCGCAAGACGAAAATGTCTTGCGAGTCTCGCCATTTCCCCCCCGCTTCCCCCCCTTTTTCTAAGCTGCTAAGCCGCTAATAGCCTTTTAGCAGCTAAGCCGCTAAGCCTTTAATAGCCGCTAAGCCGCTAATAGCGCTAATCCGCTTAGCCGCTAATGGGGTTGCTTCGCAAGACGAAAAAACCGCTAGACGAAGAGAATCGCGGAATGGATTCTTTTCGTCTTGCGAGGCACCACTGTACATAGCTGTCAACATTTCCCTTTTCTTAAGGGAAATTCCCTTATTCTGAATAGGATTCCTCGCAAGAAAAGGGGAAAGTTGACAGCTATGTCTCTGTAAACCTGTACAGTGGAGCCCTGTGCAGGATTCCTGAAGCATAGGCCTTTTCAGCTTTTTAAGGAATTTTCTCTTTATAGAGGAGGTTGGGGGCTGATGGTGGTCTACATATTTATCACAGGAGTTTCTTCTGAAACCTCACCTCTATCTGTCTGTCTGTCTTTTTTATTCTGTTATTATTAATATAACAAATTAGTGCATACGTATTCTTGCAAACCAAGAAGGCACTACTGTTTGCGATACTGATTCTTTGGCTTCTAGGGTGCTCAGCTGATACTGAATATTTAAAAAGAATAGAATGACAGAAAGCAAATTAATCACTGCATGCATTATAAAATAATTGAAGATATTTGTAAATACAGTAAAATTGCCCTATATTGGAATTCACAATATAATACTTTTTTTAAAAAAAAAAACTTACTTACTTGTAAAAATGTCTTGGGAATTTTGCCCAGATCTTCCACATATTCCTTACAGGCGTAACACAAGAAATGCTGAAAAGAGACAATGAGGAGTGTCAGAACAACTGTAATAAAAGTGTCGAGGTCTCAAAATGCGGCGGCGGGGGGGGGGGGAGGAATAGGTAAGTACGCTGAGGTTTAAATAGCATAGATCAGAAAGCCATCTATAGTAGAGTTGGAGGCTGGAGGTCTGGATCCATCACACTGCTTTTAATGATTTCATACCCGTTCACTCAAAGGTCAGAGCATCAAAAAACTAAAAGGAAGAAAACTAAAAGGAAGAAAAATCTTCTTTTTGGGGGGAGGGCTAAGAGATAAAGATAATCACGTGCTTTCTGGGAGTTTTGTACACAGCCCATTATGTTTTTTCTTTTCTTTTCCAGAACAAAACCAGCAAGTCCTTTATTTACTAGGTGGAACGGCAGAAAATCTCCGGTGAGCGAATTAAAATTCCTTTAATTTGGCTACAGCCCTGTTGAAAAGTCCCTTCTTTCGAATTATTGTTTCAGTCATGCACAAACGTGTTGCGATTGGCTCCATTACACCTCGGGAAGCGTGATCAAGATAAGATTCCTTTCCTCTTTAGTGATCAGCCACTCCACTGAAGTGGTAAGAGCGCAGCGCTACTGAAGCGCGATCCTTGCCACGGGTCTACGAAGAAAACAAAAGCCCTACTGAATTCAACAAGGATAAGTCCCAGGTAAATGGGGTGAAGAATGCCTGCCTAAAACGAATGTGCATCGGACGGCCCGGTTTCCTCCAAGGCCTCGGCTGCAATCCGGACCGCGATCGCAGCTTCCGATTTCCTGTTTGCAAGACGAAACGAAAGTCTTGCAAAAAAGCGCAAGGCTTTTTAAAGTTCCCTTTAAAAACGAAGCACTTTTTTGGGGGGGTGGATCTTCCACCTCGGCTTACCCGCACAAACACCACGATCGCCTTCCGCTCCCGGTACAGGGATCCGAAGGGAACCGCTTTCCCGGCCGCGTCCACCACCAGGCGCCGGGCGGCGTCTCGCAGCTCCACGGGCGCATCGGCGAGGGGGCGAACCCGGGCGCCCACTTGGCGCGTGACGGGCAGCGGGGCCCCCGGGGCGCCCTGGCCCGCCATGCTGGGACCCCGGGCAGGGAGGCGGAGGGGGGAGGCCGGCCGGGGCGGAGAGCCTGAACTCCTTCCCTTGTTTTGGGCTAGGGAACTCCGCCCAGAGGAGGGAAGGGAAGGCGAGGCCAGCCATCGGGGCGCTTCGCCATGTTCTCATTTGCGCCAAAACAGGCGCGCTGGCTAAGTTCTCCTGGCGCAAGAAATGGCTAGAGGTCCTGTGTGAGTGTCTGGAGGCGGCTGGAGGATGGATGGCGGCTAATGGGTTGAGGTTGAATCCTGACAAGACAGGAGTACTGTTTTTGGTGGACAGGGGGCAGGATGGTGTGAAGGACGCCCTGGTACTGAATGGGGTAACTGTGCCCCTGAAGGACCAGCCATCCAGCGCAGCCTGGCAGTCATTTTGGACTCACAGCTGTCCATGGAGGCGCAGGTCAATTCTGTGTCCAGGGCAGCTGTTTACCAGCTCCATCTGGCATGCAGGCTACCTGACTGCAGACTATCTCGCCAGAGTGGTACATGCTCTAGTTATCTTTCTCTTGGACTGCTACAGTGTGCTCTGTGTGGGGCTACCTTTGAAGGTGACCCAGAAACTGCAATTAATCCAATCCAGAATGCGGCAGCTGGACTGGTGACCACCGAGACCATATAACATCGGTCCTGAAAGATCTTCATTGGCTCCCAATACGTTTCCAAGCACAATTCAAAGTGTTGGTGCTGACCTTTAAAGCCCTAAACGGCCTCGGTCCAGTATACCTGAAGGAGCATCTCCACCCAAGACACTAAGTGTTATGTACTGAAGTTCTCACCCTGGGCCAGCAGGGGGATACTGTAGATAGTTTTCACTCAGGTCCACATATGCAAATAAGGGATTGAAAGTGACGTTCAGTGATTGGATAGTTACAGAAAATTGTTACTGTTGCGTTCTAGTGGAGCTCTATATAAGCAGGCTGGCTGAACCCTTCAGTTCAGTTCTGTTCTGGCCTGTGAATAAACAAGAGCTGTTTGAAGAATCACTGTGTCGTCTGATATGTTCACCCACAACTTAACACTGAGGTCCAGCTCTGAGGGCCTTCTGGCAATTCCCTCGCTGCGAGAAGTGAGGTTACAGGGAACCAGGCAGAAGGCCTTCTCGGTAGTGGCACCTGCCCTGTGGAACGCCCTCCCAGCAGATGTCAAGGCAATAAACAACTATTTTACTTTTAAAAGACACCTGATGGCGGTCCTGTTTAGGGAAGTTTTTAATGTCTGACGCTGTATTGTTTTTGAAATTTGGTTGGAAGCTGCCCAGAGTGGCTGGGGAGACCCAGTCAGATGGGCGGGGTATAAATAATAAATTATTATTATATATTATTGTCAGAGCTGCTTCCAGATCCTAGCTCACAGAGGATCACGCCAGCCAGCTATCATTAAATAAAAGTCTTTATTGAGTTACAGTTTCCATTCTCAAGCTGCTGCGTGCAACTCTACGTCTTATGGCTAGACCGGCGAAGCTCCGTCTGAGTCTCCGCTCCTTGTACACCAACTTAATATCCTAGCCCTGCTCCACCTTTTCCGCCTGACTGTTCTTCTTTGGGTCCCTCTGCCCCCCGGGGTCTCTTCCTTCCGGGATTCTTCTGACGCCGACCCCCCCGGACCCTCCTGTCTCCTTGCGCCGGGCTTTAGGACCTGGCTCCCTTTCCGGGCTGCCTACTGCGCCACCTTCCTGTGCATTTGAACTTGGCGCGCGCGCCCAACCTTCCACTTTCCATCTGACCGTTTCTTCGCTCCCCGATGGAGGTGTGGCCACTCCTGACTCGTGCCCTCCCCCCTGTTGTGAGCTGCCAGCGCTTGCTCCCTGGCGCCCTTCCTCTTCCCTGCTCTCTGGCGGTGACGCTGGTCCCGATTTTCCAACTGCTCCCCTCTGAGTCCCCTCTAGCTCTATCTTCCTGGGGTGTCCCCCTAGGCTCCCCCCTTGCCCTGGCCACTGGTGCTCCTTTCTGTGAATCTTCTGATTCACTGGAAAGACTTGGAGATCTCGGGTCGTCGTCATCACTCATCTTTTCTTCTGCCTCCTCCCCCTCGCTCTCTGTTTCCTCCCTTGCCCTTGCCTCTGCTCCTGAACCCCTGACAATTATATTATATTAGATCCCTTCGGTGTTCCCCTCCTCAGTCTTCTCTGCGTGGGAGAATGTGTGGCTTTTTGCCCCCTAATAAAAAATTTAAGGTCTTATATATATATATATATATATATACACCCATCTCCCCCCCTCCACCTCTTTCCCCCTTTTCTTCCTAATGTCTCAACAAATGAAACTGATCTGTAAAAAATGTTACTTGGAGAAAAGAGAGAGATTGCACATACTTTTGTAAACCAAGGAAACCTTTAATAAAAATACATTTTTTAAAAAACCAAGTGCGTAAAGAAATGTGTGTTGATGGGGAAAGTCTGAATAGAATACAATATATATTTTTTTAAATACAAAAATGTATTGTAAAGTATTAGTGGAAATTACTTGCAATAATGTGTCTATTAGGAAGAATTGCTTAATTTTTTAATTTTTTTTAAATGTACCAACTAAGCACGTACATAGATATGTGGACCACATGTTTGGAGCAGCACAGGAAGACCGCCCTGAAACCATTTTGACTCCCAAACTGACCAAATGTTTTCTCTGCAAGGAGGGAACAGGTAAGGGAACCTTCCCATTGTCTCAGGAATTGGGTAATCACCAGCTTCCATCCTAAGCCTCTGCAGGGATCGCTCTCCTCCCGCAGAGGCTTGGGAGGCAAGCTGCATGCCTGCCAGCCATATGGTTGATGGGGCACAGCTGGCGGGTGTGCAGGAGGGAAAGGGGAGGTCGCTGGCAAAGCCGCGCAGCTCCCCCACTTGCTGGGGCTCCCCTGAGAGGCCGGCACCCTGGTGCAATGCGCCAGTAAACCCAATGGGAAAGACTGCTCTGATGGTAGGGGTAGCTTGGCCAGATATGCTCTAGTAACCTCCAATCTGGATTGCTGTAATGTGCTCCACATGGTGGATGTCCTTGAAGGGACGCAGGCGGCGCTGTGGTCTAAACCATGGAGCCTCTTGGGCTTGCCGATTGGAAGGTCGGAGGTTCGAATCCCCATGACGGGGTGAGCTCCCGTTGCTCGGTCCCAGCTCCTGCCAACCTAGCAGTTCGAAAGCACACCAGCGCAAGTAGATAAATAGGTACTGCTGTGGCAGGAAGGTAAACAGCGTTTCCGTGTGCTCTGGTTTCCGTCACAGTGTTCAGTTGCGCCAGAAGCCACATGACCCGGAAAGCTTTCTGTGGACAAACACCGCTCCCTCGGCCAGAAAGAGAGATGAGCACTGCAACCCCATAGTTGCCTTTAACTGGGCTTAACCGTCCAGGGGCCCTTGACCTTTTTTTTTTTACCAATAAGGGTGTAAAGCCATCCTGCATAGAGACCACCATATACAGATGGAGCAAGTTGTGCACAATGGGTGACTCCTAAGCCAGTCTGGATTCCGCCCCATTGTAGTGTACACTGCATGAATGTAGGAAGTTGCCTTTGATCCATGGGATTCAATATTTCCTACACTGGCTGGCAGCAGCTCTCCAGGATTTGAGGCAGGGGGCATTTCAAGCCCCACCTGAACATGGCAGGGATTGAACCTGGAACATTCTGCGTGCAAAGCAGATTCTCTTACCTTCATGAGTGCATTGGTACATTTCTCCCAAGAGGTATGGCCCTAAGACCTCCCAGGTCGATGAGTTTGGCCGAACACCCCAATAATTTCATACCGAATACTAGGGGCTGCCACCCCTGCTCACATAGCTCGCCAACCACATCCGCCCACCCCAGTTGTCACTCCACCTCCCTTTACACCTTGCCCAAGGCCCCCCTCCGCCCCTGTTCACCCAAACCTCCCCCCCCCTTTCGCAGCTCAGGTGGAATCTAGACACATGTAAGAAACGCTGTGAAAATGATTTTTTAAAAAATGTTTTGAAAAATATATTGAATTTGCCATAAGCTCACCATCGCCATCTAGTGTCATGTTTGAATAATGCACTTAAAACACACTTGTAAGGTAAAGGGACCCCTGACCATTAGGTCCAGTCGTGACCGACTCTGGGGTTGCGGCGCTCATCTCGCTTTAGTGGCCGAGGGAGCCGGCGTACAGCTTCCAGGTCATGTGGCCAGCATGACTAAGCTGCTTCTGGCGAACCAGAGCAGCACACGGAAACGCCGTTTACCTTCCCGCCAGAGTGGTACCTATTTATCTACTTGTACTTTGACGTGCTTTCGAACTGCTAGGTTGGCAGGAGCAGGGACTGAGCAACGGGAGCTCACCCCGTCGCGGGGATTCGAACCGCCGACCTTCTGATCAGCAAGTCCTAGGCTCTGTGGTTTAGCCCACAGCGCCACCCTCATCTCTTATAAAAACACACTTGTATAACCAGTTTAAAAGGCAGTGGTGAGGTGATGGCAACAACTAGGGGCGAGGGGAGACTTGCCTGGGTTGTGCACCTACTATACCCTGGCATGCACACTCAGCCACCAGTTTGATGATGAATAAGCGCAAATATAGTGTAGAGAAAAATCCTATTGCCAGTGATGAATTAAGATTCAATGCTCATTCTGGCCAGTTTCTTTAGGGAGGGAGAAATAACATTTTTGCTTCTTCAACCCAGAAGCAAAATTTCTCTGTTTGGGCCTTGCTGGATCTGCAATCTGATCTACGGTAACTCTGATAAGAGTTACTCTGAAACATGACCTCCATGACCAGAAGAATATTATCTAGAAATGGGCATTCCCACCCCGAAATTGCTGCATTTTATTATCCTGCTTTCCTCCCCTGTCGTCAAGGAGTCCTGCTTGCTATGTGCGGCATACACATTCCTGAATCTGTTTAGTAAGACCTGGATAGGCCCTCTGGAGATCTTATCCAATACTCCTGTTTAAAAGGGTGCTGCAAAATGATAATGTCAAAAAGATATGGGGCAATTTAGTGTAAACTTTATCAGTGAAAGGGACTCTTTGAGGTTTGCAGTGAACACTAAAGAGAGCAACTACAGCCAAATGAAGGCGAAATATTGTGCTTTAAAAATAGTTCTACTCCAGACCATGTGAATAAAATTAACTTAAGTAAAACAAAAGAGTACAATAATTAAGCTCAGC